AACAACTTTGTTTATTCAGCAGCTGCTACCAGGTAAACAACAACAACATTGTTTATTCAGCAGGATCAAAGATGCAGTCGTTAACATGGACAGCATCTAGAGGAACGTTCTCAACACTAGTCCTGGTCGTTCCGTCACAGAAGGTTCAGATGTTTCTGAGACTCGTGACGTTTCGTTTCACTGCCGACGTTCTTCAGAACTCCTCGAACGTTTCACTTGGAGCTCGACCGCTGCAGCTTTCAGAAGTCAGAGCAGCTGACCGTAACTTGAATAAACAAACATCTGATGGTAACCAGTAATCTGCTGCTTCAGATTAAACAGATTACAGCTGATGCAATAAAAAAACTTCAATAAGAAAATAAAATCAACCGTAACGGTTTTGATCCAAAAACATTAGAATAAAAGTTATTAAATTAAAAAAAGTAAATTATTATTGGTTTAAATTTGATGTAAACTCGTGGCACCAGCAGAGGGCGCTCACACCCCAAACGTTACAAGAAATAATTTAGAAGGAACAACAAAGTCCATGCTCAATAATCCAGGTATACAATCCAGCATTTTTTCAGTCAGGTCATCTGGACTGAAACTTTTATGTTTTAAATATTTATTTTAAATTTTAATGAAAATTAATTCCTCGTGTTACAACGGTTGTTTCTTCCTGAATGATCGAACACGAGATCTGATTTTATTTATTTTACTTTAATTAAAAAAACAAATAATAATCAGATTAAAACTGTTAATCTGAATTTAATGACCAGGAAACATTTCAGGAACTAAAACGATGACATCATCCCTCACCGCCTGCTGAAATAAAAACATCAGTTATTTATTTTCAACGTCAGATTTCATTTTTATTTTTTGGCCCGAGAGCTAAACGTGCACGTTTTCTGCACGTTCCTGTTTTTATTCAGAATCAACCTGAATTTCTTTCAGGTGGTTTTGTTCGATGTATCTGGAGCCACGCTGGGGGATCAAATGCTCGGGGCGGATCACCGGAGCCACACCTTCTCCGGTCTGACCCCGGGGAGGCGGTACCGCAGTGAGGTCATCACTCACAGCGGAGAGCTGACCAATAGCGTCGCAGAATTCGGACGCACCTGTAAGTTGAAGAACATCACAACGTTTTGGGTCTGGTTCTGTTTCCTCAGTAAAAATACTTTTTATGTTTCAGCTCCAGAATCGCCCACCCACCTGTCTGTCAAACAAGGTCTGACCAATGACGTGGTCGAGCTGTCGTGGTCAGGCCCCGCCTCCGGAGAGTACGACGACTTCAGCCTGCGGTGGACGCCGGAGGACCAGCTGTCCGTCACACAGACTCACCTGACCCGCCGCCTGGTGGGCGGGATGTTCCCTGGCAGGAAGTACAACTTCACCGTGACGACAGTCAGCGGGGGCGGAGCCAGGGGCGGGCCCACTGCCAGGAGCCAGCCAATCCAGAGGAGTGTCAGGACAAGTAGGAGGAGTTTAAGATTTTTAAAATGTATTTATTTAAATGTTTTTTTTCCGTTGAGTATTTTTACACCAGTTCAGAGACAAATCCTGCTGGAAGGACAAAAAAAAAAAAAAAAACTAGTAATTTTTTTCCTGATAATGTTTTTAAAATAAAAATAAAATATGATCAGTCAGAAAAGAACCTTCAGGTTTTTGATGTTTTATTTTTGAACATGTATTTTTCTTAGCGCTCTTTGTTTCTAAATATAAGAAGTGTTGCAGACTGTTTGGGATATTTAGAATTTATTTTTATTTTAAACATCAGAATTAACAAAATAATCTTTGAAAGTTTGGACTGGACCTCAGAACCCGGACCGGGCGCTCTCCTGGGTTTTAAAGACGCCTTCAAAACAACTTTTAGTTTTAACTCGTTTTATTTCACATCAGTAAGTTTGTCTCCTCAGTGACTCGGACTAGATGAGGTTCTGGACTGCAGAACCTCAGAGATCAGAACCGGGTCATGAACGGTTTTATACAGACGACCCGGTTCCTCACGTCTGAGGTCGGGCAGTATTAATGTCCAAACACTGATCTGAGACAAACGATGGTTCTTCTTCCTGTTTGATCTGCTGCTTCCTGTCCACCAGCTGAAGACAGACTGTCCCCGTGTCTCCTGCAGGTCCGTCTCCTCTGAGGTCCATCCACTGCTTCCCTCAGTCCTCCTCCTCCCTCTCCTGCTCCTGGTCTCCCCCGCTCGCCGACTTCGACTCCTACGAGGTGGAGTGTCGTCGTGGCGACGAGCTGACCTCGGCGCTGAGACTGGCCGGGGGCGTCACCGCGGTAACGCTGGACCACCTGGAGGCCTTCAGGAACTACTCGGTGATGGTCCGAGTGTCGTCGGCCGGACTGACGAGTCCTCCGGCGACTCAGAGCGCCGTCACGCTGATCGACCGTGAGTTCACACACCGTTAAAACGTTCCACTGTCAGGCTGTTCAAACAGAACCGGGTCGGCCCGCCTGGGAAACCAAGAGTCAGTACTCATCTCTAACGTTCGCTCTTTAATTACCACGAGTTACACGACTCAGCTGGTCCAACAGAGACCAGAGTCCTGCTGGACCTGATGGGCCGAGCTCCATCAGAACTGCTCCAGGAAACAAACGGGTCTTTACAGGATCAGTAGAAGCCGGACTCTGAGGTTCTGATCCTCTGAGTTTGGACTTCAGCTTCTGTGGTTCTGAATCAAAACAAACGTTCTTCGTTCTGCAGGAACGACTCTCAGCTACTACCACCCCAACGCCCAGTCTGAGGCGGCCATCTTGAATCACGCTGATTAGCTACAAACGAACGTTTAGATAAAATCCACGGCTCGAGACGTTTTTATGAGACGACGTTTCAGAACTTTAAATGGACTTGGAGCAAACTGGACGTTTATTCTCAGAATTTTTTCCGGGAACGTTTCAAACTTTAACCTGAACGTTGTGACCCTGAAGGAAGAACGGACCCAACCTGGTGTTTTCTAGTTTACCCAGAATCCTCGGCTGCAGAAACAAACAAGAACCCAGTTAGTTTGTCGTGAGCAGTGCCAACGTGTCGTGGAGGTTCTGCTCGTCTTTAGGTTCAGTTCTGGACGGAGCCTCACGTCTCCATGAACTGGACCGACTCCAGCAGCTGAACCAGCAGGTTTCATTTCACAGACCCGTCAGAACTTTAACTGGGTCGAGTTTGAACTTCTGCTGCAGCCGGCGGAGGAAACGAGACTCTCCATCTCTGACGTCACTTAAGTTCCTCTGCCGTTAGAAACAAGTCATGGCGACCCAGAACTGTTTCCTCGCACGGCGCCGCCTCCTGCAGCCATAAATCATCGTGACAGGAGCAGAACAACCAAAACTGTGTTCACAGCGGTTCTGAACCAGCAGAGCACGACACCAACTCAGATTTTATCGTTTGACTTCAGTAAGATTAGAAAAATAAAACATTCATTTTATTTTTACACATTAAACACGACGACGTCCCACAGATCAGGAATGATTGATGACATCATGTCGGTTTGATCCTTGATTGACAGCCGGTTAAAACGTGGATCTCCTCGCAGGTCCTCCTGTCCCGCCTCCCAGCGTTTGTGTCGACGGGAAGACGTCCAAAATGACGTCGTCCTCCATCTTGTTCCGCTTCAACTGCTCCTGGTTCAGCGACGCCAACGGAGCCGTCAGATTCTTCGCTGTGATCGTCGCCGAGTCCGACGGTGAGAGAACGCTCGGATCCGTGAAAACTCACGACATCGACATGGAAACAGGAAGCTGACTCTGAAGCATCAAACTCTTTCTGTCCAACAGCCAACGAGATCCTGCAGCCGGAGCAGCGCCACCCGCTGCCCTCGTACCGCGACTACATCAGCAACTCCTCCGTCAGAGCCTACCAGACGGCCTTCTTCCCGAGTCGCTGCCCGCAGGACGCCGACAGCCCCGCCGGACAGGTGAGGGCACCCACCTTTACCGAGCCCGCTGCTCCGGTCGTCACATTTGTACGAAAGTAGAAATCCTGGTTTGGGGGCGGAGTCTAAAACACTATTACAGCAGAGGGCTGCACTAACGGGACCGAACCGGTTCTTTTGACCTCTGTGGTCACCATGGCAACAGAGACTGAACGCATCACCTGCTGCCGGGCTGCTCGGCTCTGGTCAAACGTCTCATTTCTCTTTAAACGGTACCAGAGCTGCAGGAAGTCTGTCCTGTTGGGCCAGAACTTTATTTAACTCATAAATGACAAACCTTCTGAAAGTATTGGGACAGTTGGGCCGGTTCAATGTCGAAAAGATGACAAAAAGCAACGTTTCAGCTTTTATTTCCAGTGGTTTACATCTGGATCAGACAGAAAACAAACTCTTTAGAAGAGTTGAACAGAACAAATGAAAACCTTGTGGACCGGTCCAGTCTAGAACCTGATCTGTAGAAGGTCTTTGTCTCATCAGTCCAGAAGCTTGTCTCTGTCCTCTGCTGTGGACCGGCTCTGTGCACTGTTGTGCAGCGGTTCTGATGATGTAGATGACAGGTGTCTGGTTCTGGCAGTTTTACAGAGCAGGACGTTTGGACCTCGAGATGTTCTGGTCTCCACCTGCTGGTTGTTGTGAAACTTGATGGAGCAGAAAGTTTATGAGCTTGTAACACCTGATCAGGTGGTGGAGGTGAACCTGGGAGCAGGAGGGGAGCGTCTGGGCGGGGCCTGCGATCGTTACCATGACGACGACCTCTACCAGAGGGACAGCTACGGAGGCTTCTGCGACGGGCCACTGAAAGCCAAAACCTCCTACAGGTAAACAAAACAAACTGTGTTTAAATGACGAGAGTAAACAACAACAACAAACAGCTGTGTCTCTGCAGGCTGAGCGTGCGAGCGTTCACCAAACTGATGGAGGAGCACAGAGAGGTCGCCGAGCCGCTGTTCTCCGACACGTACCTGTCGGTACCGCTCAGGACGCACGCAGGTGAGAACCGAGCCGCCGCCTTCAGCCTGAACGTTCACAGTAAACGTAATTTAAGCTGCTCGTGTCGTCGTCCATCAGAGCCGCTCGGGGGTGTGGTGGAGGGTCTGAGCGCTGGGATGTTCCTCCTCGGCATCATGGTGGCCGTCGTGTCTCTGCTGGTTTACAGACAGAGGCTCCGCAAAGTGTGAGTACCGCCGCGCCGTATTGGACACGATCGGCATGAACTGTTCATTTAAATTAATGATTTTAAATGATTTAGCACCTGTGGGCGGAGCTCCACAGTCTCTTCCAGATTGTCTGATCGCCTCCTGCCTGAAGTAATCCAGCGTTTCTGTCCCTGGACCACTTCATGACCACCAGACATCTGGACCTCCACGCCTGCTCTGCCTTCAGACCACTGATTCCACCTAAACCCTCAGATAAGTTTAGCAAAAAGCATTTCTGTTGCTGTGTAGTGAATTACGAGGGTGAGACCCAGAAATTCAGCCGCACACAGGAATGAACAAACATATTTAAAGCTTTAACACAGCTGTCACTCAAAGAACTTGATCACAGGTGGACAATCCAAAGCTGCGATGAAGTCAGAGAGAAAGGATTGGTTGGATCCCGTGATACGTGAAGCTTGGTCCCGAGTCTTCAACTCCTAGATTCCAGAGTCAAACAGCTGTGGGTCATTCAGAGGTCTGAAGGCAGAGCAGACGTGAAGGTCCAGAAGTCCAATGGGCAGAAGAATTACTCTAGGGGAGACAAAGGGGAGGAACCTGTGGTCATGAAGTGGGTCAGGAACAATAACGCTGGATTACTTCAGTCATGAGGAGATCTGGGAGACACTGTGGAACACACCCCACAGGTGCTAAATCATTTTGCTACAGTGGGAGTTCGGGGTGGACAGGCCTGTTCCCGGTCAACAATACTATATATATATACATATATATACATATATATATACATATATATATATATATACATATATATACATATATATATACATATATATGTATACATATATATGTATACATACATATATATGTATATATATATATATATATATACATATATATATATACATATATATATATA